AGCGGCGGCGGAGTGCGCGGCTGCTCCTTCACTGTCCCTAACCCGGGCAGGAAGCGTGGGCAGCAGCAGCGCGGCAAGGGCCGCGGTGCCAGGGGCCGTGCCGATGCTGGACCCCGTCTCGTTGACAAGAACGCGCTGTCCGCGCGCGGCAGCGGGCCCTCGCGCCAGTCGCGCTCGCCGTCGCCCGACTCTCCGCCCGCCAAGCGGGCCGCCTCCGCTGACTCGTCCGGCTATGAAACCGATACGCCGGACGAGGTGCAGCAGGAGGCGGTCCGCAGGGTATGCGGCGCGCTCGGCATGAGGGAGCAGTTCGAGGCGGCGATGGCGGCGGGCGAGCTGCTCGAGATGCTCGAGAGCTTGCCGCGAGGGGCGGTCGAGGCCTCTGTCCGACAGATGCGGGGTTACAACCGCACGGGCGAGTGGCCAGAGCCCATTCTCACCAGCCCTGCCCCGCAGCGCGGCCGCTCGCCAAGCCCCGTCGATGAGTGGTCAGATGGTTAGTGCCCGAGAGCGAGGGGTCCGGGGGGGAGCACAAACATAGGACGCCCAGCCTTGCCCTCGTGCCGCCGAGTGCGTATCCTATGCGAGAGAGATCCCCTGTGCCCTGTGCCCAGCCCTCTCCGCGCGGCGATGCGCCCTCCCCCCTCGCTTTTGCAAAATCCTGCAAAGGTGGGGACGTGTCTGTCCTCGACCCAGCCCTAGCTTGGGATGTCCGTTGTATTTATTTATTTATTTATGGGCACGGGACTGGCGCGCACTGGCACTAACACAGGTACACCAAAAGAGAAAACGAGGATGCGAAAAGTCGGGCATAAGTGGTGGAAAGATTGGGTGTTTCCACAATCAAATCGTCCGTGAAGAGTGCTTGATTCACGGACAGCGAGGCTGCCCGCATGTCAATCGTTGCCCGCAAGCGGAGCTCCCCACCGGCGGGTTGAAGACACTGAGCCGAGCGCGCCGGCGGCGGACGCCGCCGGCGCGCTCGCTTCGGCGGATGGCTGAGCGGCACAGTTTCTGGCCGCCCGGCCTGCGAGCAGTCGCCGCGAGACGATCGAAGGCGCTCAGTTCAAGCGCGCCGCCATGCCAGATCTCGCCCCACGCCCCGACCAGACCGGGCAGTGCGTGCAGGAATGATGGGCGGGTGTGGTGAGCACGCCAGCGGCACCGCTGCGCACTCTCAGGGTCGCAGCCGCCTATCTCGTGAGGGGCGTGGCTCGGGGCGGGTGCGAGAGAGTCGAGGAGCGCGGCGTGCGCGTGCGCGCGCGTGGTAAAGTCGGTTTACATTTCATCACTGGTATAAAAGAGACCCAAAACGGCACGCGCGCCGCGCGCACGCGCGCTCGCATCACCTCAACACTCACACAGCAAATCAAATAAGATGCGGGCAGCCGCGCGCCGTTCGAGTTTCTTCGATCAACAGAGGGACGGCAGCGAATCTCTCCACGGCTCATGGCTCTCCCCGCTAATTCTAGGCCGCACGACGTGGCACTATGACGGAGTTCTAGACGTGCGGCCGCAGCGCGCCCGCCGCAGGCTCGGCGGTGCACACGCGCTTCTGCTCGCAAACACTCACCCAATGAATTGTCATCACCCGTGAGTGCGAGATAGGGCTAGCGGTAGGCAGCTAGCCTGTGAGCAGAGCGCAGCGGGCTCTCGCCAGTGCCGCAGACGCAGCGGCTTCAGTGGCGGCTGCTACGGCAAAAAAAAGCCATGCTGAGGCTTGGGCGGAGAGTGCGGCGCTGGAGCAGTGGGCAGACGAGCTCGAAGAGCTCGCCGAGCTCGCGGCG